CCGCCGATTGTAATCCTGTTTTGGTCGATGGTTCAACCGCGAATCCTACTAGCGCCAGCGACACTACCTGCGACAATCCCCGACCTGACCTCATCCCGAGCTCCCTGCGACGGTTTTCGTTTGCCGAACTCCAGGCTGCGACGAACTGGTTTCATCGGCGAAACTGCATTGGCAAAGGCGGGTTCGGGACAGTGTATTGGGGAATGATCCGCCGGGGCCGAATGGGCTTGGCGCGGAGCCGACGGAGGTGGCGATCAAGAGGATGCGCGAGGCGGACGAGCGTTACACGGAATAGTTTCTGTTGCGTGCGCTCGTGCGTGCGTGCGTGCGTGCGTGTGTGCGTGGGTTGGAGAAAAATGGGGGTTATATGGCACGTGCGTGCATGAGATGAGAGGGTAGGATGCCAACTCTCTTAACGAGAGCATCGCTTTTCTGCACAATGCCAATCCGCCCAACTGCCGAGAGATTGTCTGGAGAGCTCTCCCATCCGCACCTTGTGCGCCTCCTCTGCTAGCTACTGCATGGATTTCGCACACACACAGAACGCCACACCATGAGCATCGCTTTTCTGCACAATGCCAATCCGCTCAAATGCCGAGAGATTGACTGGAGAGCTCACCCACCTCATATTGAGCGCCTGCACGGTTATTGCCTGGAGATTTCGCACACACGCCACGCCACGCCATGGCACGCCACGCCACACCACGCCACGCCACACCATGCCACGCCACGCCACGCACCCCTTTTGTGCGGAAAGAAGTGGTCGTGCTGGGGGTGTAACGCCTGTGGGGCTTACACGTAAGGGTTGTGTGGAAAGCAGTGGTCGTGCTGGGGGGCTTTCCCATTCGCACCTCGTGCGCCTGCACGGTTACCGCCTGCACGGTTACCGCCTGCACGGCTACCGCCTGCACGGCTACCGCATGAATGAGGTGTGAATACGTCACATGAATGTGGTGTGGGACGTCACATGAATGTGGTGTGAATACGTCACATGAATGTGGTGTGAGACGTCACATGAATGTGGTGTGAATACGTCACATGGTGTGAATACGTCACATGAATGCAGTGTGAATACGTCACATGAATGTGGTGTGAATACGTCACATGAATGTGGTGTGAATACGTCACATGAATGTGGTGTGAATACGTCACATGAATGTGGTGTGAATACGTCACATGAATGTGGTGTGAGACGTCACATGAATGTGGTGTGGGACGTCACATGAATGAGGTGTGAATACGTCACATGAATGTGGTGTGAGACGTCACATGAATGTGGTGTGAATACGTCACATGAATGTGGTGTGAATACGTCACATGAATGAGGTGTGAATACGTCACATGAATGAGGTGTGAATACGTCACATGAATGTGGTGTGAATACGTCACATGTAGCCTCGCCTCCCCCACCACTGGCTTCCTCTGTTGCGTCTCTCCGTATTCCCCACTCGTCCCTTCCCTCTCCACGCCACAAGACTATGACGCAAAGCTGACAGACTTTGGGATGGTGCGCGTGGGGCCAGATAGGCAGCTGCGGTCGATAGTATCAACTCGCCTCATGGGCACTCCGGGATACATGGACCCTTCTTACATGGAGACGGGTGTGTGGCTAAGACTCTAAGGGACTATGACTAGCATGCATACTCACATCATGGGCACTCGCGGTTACATCGACCTTCATACATGGGGACGGTGTGTGGCTAGGGGAGACAGGCTCTCTAGGGTTTTTCGGGAAGAGGTCGATGGTTTCACATGAAGGGCATTGAGGGGTACATTATGTCAGAGGTCCACTGGTGATCCCCGATTGATCCTAGGGAAGGGTTACAGGCATGTTGGCCTGGGGGGTTATGGGCGCACTTACCCGCTACTTAACAAGCCCTTTTATCCCAATGGTCTAGTGGTTGGGATTCTGACACATTAACCCTGTGTGCTTGTTCCCTCTCCCCTTTTGCCCCTCACCACCCTTCACCACCCCTCCCCACCCCTCCCCGCCCCGCCCCACCCCACCCATCACAGGTTGCCAAGAGTAGCAAAGGTCGCTAGGTTGCGAAGAGCTTATGGTCAAGAAGAGCTTATAGTCACGAAAAGCTTACAGTCTCGATTGTTCTCTTCCCTCCTCTCATCTCGCCTCTTCTCCCCCTCCCCTCCCCTTCCCCCACCCCTTCCAGCCCCGCTCCGCTCCGTGCTGCTCACCACAGGACACCTGGATGTCAAGAGCGATGTTACTCCTTTGGCGTTCTCCTGCTCGATCGGGTAACCACCACAGGACACGTTCTTTCCTTTCCCACACGAACCCCCTCCCTTCCCCAGGCCGCCTGGGTGTCAAGAGCGACGTCTACTCCTTTGGCGTTCTCCTGCTAGAGCTGGTAACCGGCAGGATAGTGGCAGAAGAGGGAGAAGGGTTGGCTGAAGAGTGCATAACATATTCAGACCAGATGCACAGACCTCCAACATACCCGTACGTCGACCCTCGGCTTGGGAACCAGTACCTGGAGCAAAGCCCCCTACGCTTGGCGATTCTGGCTCGGCACTGTGTGGCGGAGGATCGGACGAAGCGGCCGGAGATTGGGACTGTGATAGAAAAGCTTAAGTTATTGGTTAAGGCGTGTGCAAATGCTGAAGCGAAAGCAGCAGCTGAAGCTGCAGCACTGGAGGCAGGGGAATCAGTGTCGATTGAAAGGGGGGATATGGAGGTGAATGGGGGTGAAGCAGGGTCGTCAGCAGCTGTGGCACCAGTACAGGTTATTGATTGATTTACTTCCGGACAACATGGTTTTGTTCTGTAAGATAGCTGAAGAGGAACACTTCATAATGAATGTGGAATAGAAGCAGAAACTCCTACAGGATTTGGGTGATCCGATCATGCTGCTGTGAGCAAAAAAATCCAACTTTATTCCTTGGCCTTATGCATGGTCTTTCTTGTTTGTGATGTGGTTCCAAATTTGGAATCATTTATGGAGAATTTGTTGAGAGGCCATGTATCAATCTTCAGGCAAGTGAGCAGTCGCAGTTGAATGAAGCAAGTGCTCCATATATAATAGCAGTGTTCCACAAGTGAGGATATGTGAAGCCGGCTTCTGGAAGGGGAACTGCGCTTCGAGGCACCACCACCACCACCACCACTGATGACTGTCTATTGCACTTGCACGACCAGAGGGTGTGCCCAACCCAACTCCCTGTTTTGTGCCATGTCGCTCACTCATCGGCCGTGGCTCGACGGTTGTCCCCACCCATCCAATACCCTGGCAGGAAAGCAGGGTCCGTCCGTCCTTCTCCGTCAATTTTCTCATCCGCTTGGCTCAACGGAATCAACGAAGGCTGTCCCGGGTCAACGGAACGAAAGCAGGCTCCGTCCGTGCATCCATCCTTGGGTATTTTGGGCAGCACGCCCTGGGGCTCCTGGATATGGGATGGAATGGAAGCTGCGGCTTTGCGTATGAGCCAACTAGCTCTTTTCGTTGGGTCTTTGACAATGGTTTTTGTGACGAAACGCGTCGTGAGGTACCAACGAGATTGTTACAAAGTTGCAACCAGGCTATAACACGAAATTCAGAGGGATTACGCAACTGGTTCCCTCGGGATTCTTTCTGGTAAAATACGAGCCTGCTTCTAGCTGCTCATGTCTTTGACGTCTCACTGATACTGGTATCCACACCATTGCAGTGCAGTAGAACTTCAAAGACTGCAAACAGAAAGTATTCGCATTCAAGGCGTTCTTATCGTTCCTTCTCCAGATCGTACCGAGTGACACTGGTTCGGTCGTTTTTGTGGAATAGCCAAACGGCGTTCAATATACTTGTCCATAACTAGCACACGGAACTCATTCGCAGCCGCTTGTAGTCGTAACCGTGCGAGGCTCCCTATCACTAGTCTTCATGTTCAGCCTTACTGCGTAACGGAGTAAACCAAATCGCCTTATGTCTTACTACGCTTGCATAGCAACAGGCAGTGGAATGGGAATGTAGTAGCTGAGACGTAGTTATCGAACTTTGTTTTCTTCCCTACATGGTCTGAAAGCCGAATCCTAGTTCAATAACAGGCCCGCCGCGTCAAACTCCTTTACGTGAAGAAAAATGGGTTGTTTCATGTCGAAAATGGGTACGTACGTCGGTCCCCTATGTCTCTCTCAGACGCTCTGAATAACGATTTGGATTGTGTGCCCGAAAGAATGCGCTCTATTTGAATCGAACTTGTTCAGCGAAATCTCAATGTTTTTCTGAAGCAATCGAAGTAGTTAAAAGCCAAGTTAACCGAATGCGATCATTTCGAATGGGGTAAGTCGACGACTCCAATGCGATGGTAACCTTACTTCTCCCTCTCCACTTCCATTCCTCTGCAATAACCCCGATTTCCCTTTCCATTGCCCGTTGCAATCAGGCGACCGTGAAACAAGGACATCAATCATTGATAGTGGCGCCGCGAAGACCAGCCCCAGCAGCCAGAATAAGTCATCTGTCAGAACCGCCACCTCTCAAACCTCGGATAATATTGGTTCGCTCGCCAGCTCAATTGCGAATCCTTCTAGTGCCAGTACCTTCAATATATTTATTGTGGTTCCGACCTCGAATAGTGCCAGTGACACCGATAAGTTAGTTTCGGTCGACGGTTCAACCGCGAATCCGATTGCCAGTGACACCGTTAGTAATCTTGTTTCGGTCGACGGTTCAACTTCGACTCATACTACCAGTGACACCGATAATCTTGTTCCGGTTGACGTCTCAACCCCAAATCCTAGCGCCTGTGACGCCGATAATAGTGCTTTGGCCGATGGTTCAACCGCGAATCCTAGTGTGATTGACACTACCAGCGACAATCCTCTCCCTGACCTCATCCCGAGCTCCCTGCGACGGTTTTCGTTCGCCGAACTCGAGTCTGCGACGAACTGGTTTCATCGGCGAAATGTCATTGGCGAAGGCGGGTTCGGGACCGTGTATTGGGGGATAATTTCGCCGGGTCCGAATGGGCTTGGCCCGGAGCGGACAGAAGTGGCGATTAAGAGAATGCGCGACGCGAACGAACGATACGAGGAAGAGTTTAAGGTGCGTGCGCGCGTGCGCGCGTGCGTGCGTGCGTGCGTGCGTGGGTGGGTGGGAGAACAATGGGGGTTATGATACTGCGGCACATGCATGCATGAGATGACAGGGTGTGATGTGATGCCAACTTTTTCTAACTAGCGTCGCGTTTCCACACAATGCTAATCCCCTCAAATGCAGGAAAATTGCTGGAGATCTCTTCCTCCGCAACCTTGTGCGCCTGCACTGTTACTGCCTGGAATTTCTTGCCACACACACAAACCACACCCCGCCACACACACCCCTTGTGCAGAAAGAAGTGAACGTGCTGCAGAGCTGTCCCATCCGCACCTTGTACGCCTGCACGGTTACTCCCTTCAAACCCCCTCTTTGCAGAAAGAAGGGATCGTGCTGCAGAGCTGTCCCATCCGCACCGCACGGCACCTTGTGCGCCTGCACAGCGTCTGCATGGGAGATTTCGCACACATACACCACACCCCGCCCCTCTGATCCTCCTTTGTCCCCTTTCAAATCCCTGCAGAGAGAGGTAATCGTGCTGGGCCGGCTGACCCACCCGCTGCTCGTGCGTCTGCACGGCTACTGCATGGAGGGGAATGAGGCTCTGCTCGTGTACGAGTTCATGACGAGGGGCAGCCTGGACAAAGCGCTATTAGACAGTGAGTCGTGTGCTAGGGGAGGTGCTTATTATTGCAGTGTGGACTCACCACTCGCCTGTCTGCTCGTGTACGAGTTCATGACGCGGGGCAGCCTAGACAACGCAATTTGTCTTGAGTTGTCTCAGAACGAATCTACTATCGCGTCGCCTCTTTATGCTCCTGTACGAATCTACTATCGCGTCGCCTCTTTATGCTCCTGTACGAATCTACTATCGCGTCGCCTCTTTATGCTCCTGTACGAATCTACTATCGCGTCGCCTCTTTATGCTCCTGTACGAATCTACTATCGCGTCGCCTCTTTATGCTCCTGTACGAATCTACTATCGCGTCGCCTCTTTATGCTCCTGTACGAATCTACTATCGCGTCGCCTCTTTATGCTCCTGTACGAATCTACTATCGCGTCGCCTCTTTATGCTCCTGTACGAATCTACTATCGCGTCGCCTCTTTATGCTCCTGTACGAATCTACTATCGCGTCGCCTCTTTATGCTCCTGTACGAATCCATGTCAGGGTGAAGCCTGGCCAAAGCCCACCTCTCTCCCCTCGCTGCCCTTTTGAGGCGCCTCAGAAGCTGTCAGGGAGAAGCCTAGTCAAAGCACATCTCCCTCCTCTCGCTGCCCTCACTCTGAGCTCTTTTTCAGGCGGGACATGCACTTTTATCCCACTCCCTCAAATCCCACTCTGCCTTTCCTCCCCTCGCCTATTCCCCCTTCCCCCTCCACCCACCAGGTGCAAAGGGAGAGCTCTTCTTCAGCTGGAACATGCGACTCAAGGTGGCGGTGCAAGTGGCAGAGGCCCTGGCGTATTTGCACGGAGCCAACTTGATCCACCGCGACCTGAAAGCGGCTAATGTGCTGCTGTCTCCGGTAAGGGGGGGGGAGACAACGTGCTGCTGCCGCAATTCTGGATGGTGCGGGTCGTCACGTATAGCTTCCGGATTTACTTTTGAGTCTACTCAAAAGTCAGAACTGATTGTGGAGGGTTCGAGATATCACATATAGCTTCCCAACAATGGCCTGCCTCTGCGCCCTCCCACCGAATCTTCCACGAGTGTTTCGAATCGACTCAAAACACACATGCCCCTCCCTCCGGCACTCGTCCTTACCCTCCCCACGCCACAGGAATATGATTCAAAGCTGACAGATTCTGGGATGGTGCGAGGGATCACAAAAAATCTCCCAACAATGGCTGCCATTTAAGCCATCCTTCCGTATCCCCCCACTTGACCTTTCCCCAACGTCACAGGAGTGCGATGCAAAGCTGACAGACTTTGGAATGGTGCTCGTGGGGCCGGATAGGCAGCTGCAATCGATCGTGTCGACCCGCGTCATGGGCACCCGGGGGTACACCGACCCATCGTACATGGAGACAGGTAGTTTGAAGGGAGCCCGACTAGCTATATACAGGGTGTGGGTGGGGGCATAAGGCAAGGGGGATGGCAACAGACGAGCTGCAATCGATTGTGTGAACCCGCGTCATGGGCACCCGGGGGTACACTGTACACCGACCCATCGTACATGGAGACAGGTGTTTGTTTATATATGGGGGACTGTGACTAGCATGCATCCTTGCTTTATGGGAGGGAGGGACCAGGGCTACACCTACCCGTGTAGATGACTCTGAATAGCATGCATACCATCATGGGGACCCGGGTATATGGACCCCTCATTCATGGAGACAGGTGTGTGCTTATACATGCGGTTTACTCCTTTTGAGTTCTCCTTTGAGTCGACTTAAGCTGTTCTTTGATCCCGCCTCCCTTCCCCTCTCTTCCTCACCCGTGCGCCACCCTCTTCCTCCCCTCCACTCCGCCACAGGTCACTTGGGTGCCAAGAGTGACGTTTACTCCTTTGGCGTTCTCCTGCTAGAGCTGGTAACCGGCAGGAGAGTGGTGGACGAGGGAGAAAAGATGGTCATTGAGTGCCGAACACGCTTCTCAGACCTCACACCCGCCGAATATATCGATCCTAGGCTCGGTAACCAATACCCGGAGCAAGGAGCCCAAGGCTTGGCGACTCTGGCTCGGCACTGCGTGGCAGAGGCTCGGTCAAGCCGGCCGGAGACTGGGACAGTACTGGAGAAACTCAGGCTGTTGGTGAGAGTGTGTGAGAATGATAAGGCGGAGACGGCAGCTCAAGCTGCGGCATTGGAGACGGGGGGCTCAGGGTCGGTTGAAGGGGAGGATACGGAGGTGAATGGTGAAGAGGGGTCGTCAGCAGCTGTGGCACCTCCACTAGTATAGATAGTTCATTGTTCCTCTGAACGTAGGTTTTCCTCGTGTGATATAGCAGAAAGATGAACACTTTGGGGTTGAAATGTACCTTAAAAGGTAAAAATATGTCTTGGTGAATGTGCTTGTCCGTTCCCACACTGCACTGTGTGGTGGTCCTACACAGAGATTCTTGGTTGCACTGGTGCTGTCTTGGGGTGTTGATGTGGTTTCAAGGTACTGTAGAAAAGTACGGTAGTGATGACCAGGCATCGCTTCTGAAGTTGCAGAACCCACGAAGTAGGTGCATTGCAATAGAAATGGTACAAATGGAGAGCTAAACAAGTAAATCACTCCACAGCACCTCTACTCTCAATCCTCTTTGCTAAATACAAAAGCTACGATACCCTAAAGGAGTACGATTGCGAACGGTGACCCTCAGATGCGAGGAGTCGTTCACTGTAAGGTACATGATTCAGCTCTGTAGCGGACACAAGGAATGCTTTCCCAGACTGGATGCCATGTGGCCAACCAAACAGAGCACCACGTCTCGGTTTGCTGATGTGGCTGCTGGTCATGGGCTGCCTCGTGTTCTCCGATTGCTCGCTGCACCTCGCGCCTTGGATTAGCCCGAACCAGCACAAGGCGTCTAGAACTCGCCGCGTCACTCAGCCAGCACACTGTCAACATTCATCACCATGAACTCCCAAGGTGCGTGACGTGGTGCCCCGTGATGCGTGGACCGTTGCCGGTCGGGCAATTTCGAGGGACTGAGGGGAGGAGCATTCACCCGCGGTTCGCCGAAACGAACCCTTCAAAACCCCGCTGCAAGCGATGAACTTGCCAGATCACCGATTTACGTTTTCACTGCCAACCCAGCTCTCCTGTAACTAGCTCGTCAAGAATCTAAGCTCGTCAATTCTGCATTCTCGATCTGTTCGCCGAAGCGGTTCCCTTAGAGCTCTGAGAATTTTCCAGTTCGCGAGCTACCCGGTTACACGAATTGCTGACTGTCGCTTCGGCCAAGGCTTTCCGCAGCCACCTACCTCACATTACCTCCATATATTCCCCTCCCTGCCCTAGTTTTTATCAGCCATTCTGAGTTTCTGCCTTGTTCCCAGACATTTCCCGCAGCCTCAGTGACCCTGCTGCTACGCCTTCGATTGCGCATTCCATTTCTTCCGCGCTCAATCAATCGTCGTAGCCGCGCTATCCAATCTCTCTGCCATGGCGGCCCTCTCCGCTCCCGTCTCGGCGACTAAGTCCGCCCTCCTGGGCTCAGATCTCAGGGGCCAACGAATCACCATCGCCGGCAAATCCGCGAGAGTAGTCGCCGTGCCAGCGTCGCGCATCGTCGCGACCGCTGCTAGCAACCCCGACGCCGTCAGCGCCTCGAAGCGCTCCTTCCTAAAGAAGGCCCTCGGCGCCGCAGCCGTCGGCCTCCCGCCGCTGGTCCTCGGCGGTAAAGCCATGGCGGAAGGCGAGCAGCAGGCGGTCGCGTCGTCACGCATGTCGTACTCGCGGTTCCTGGAATATCTCGACATGGACCGCGTTAAGAAGGTCGACTTATACGAGAACGGCACGATCGCCATCGTCGAGGCGGTGAGCCCTGAGCTCGGTAATCGCATCCAGCGGGTGCGCGTGCAGCTGCCGGGGCTCTCTGGCGAGCTCCTCGCGAAGTTCCGCGAAAAGAACATCGACTTTGCCGCGCACAACCCGCAGGAGGACTCGGGCGCCGTCTTCATGAACGTTCTCGGAAACCTCGCGTTCCCGCTGCTGCTCGTCGGCGGCCTGTTCCTCCTGTCGCGGCGATCCCAAGGCATGGGCCCGGGCGGTCCGGGCGGCCCAATGGCGTTCGGGCAGTCTAAGGCAAAATTCCAGATGGAGCCGAACACGGGCGTTACTTTTAACGACGTCGCGGGAGTCGACGAGGCAAAGCAGGATTTCATGGAGGTCGTCGAGTTCCTGAAGCGCCCCGAGCGCTTCACCGCCGTCGGAGCGCGGATTCCCAAGGGTGTGCTGCTCGTTGGGCCGCCCGGCACGGGTAAAACGCTCCTGGCGAAGGCTATTGCCGGCGAGGCCGCGGTGCCGTTCTTTTCGATCTCCGGGTCGGAGTTTGTGGAGATGTTTGTCGGTGTCGGCGCGTCGCGCGTGCGCGATTTGTTCAAGAAGGCCAAGGAGAACGCCCCGTGCATCGTGTTCGTGGATGAAATCGACGCCGTCGGTCGCCAGCGTGGCACCGGAATTGGCGGCGGGAACGACGAGCGCGAGCAGACGCTGAATCAGCTTCTAACGGAGATGGACGGCTTCGAGGGCAACACGGGTGTTATCGTTATCGCGGCCACCAATCGCGCGGATATTCTCGACGCGGCGCTGCTGCGTCCCGGGCGATTCGACCGTCAGGTGTCCGTCGACGTTCCGGATATCAAGGGACGGAAGGAGATTCTCAAAGTGCACGCCTCCAACAAGAAATTCGCCGAGGACGTCAACCTCGATGTTGTCGCGGCGCGCACGCCCGGATTCAGCGGTGCGGATCTCGCGAATCTGCTGAACGAGGCGGCGATCCTGACGGGGCGGCGCGGCAAGACGGCGATCTCGTCGAAGGAGATCGACGACGCGATCGACAGGATCGTGGCGGGTCTTGAGGGGACGGTGATGACGGACGGCAAGAGCAAGAGCCTCGTTGCGTACCACGAAGTCGGCCACGCCATCTGCGGGTGAGTTGAATCTTCTTTGATTCCGTTGAGTATTATGTTATTTCCAAAATGGTAGCCAGTTCCGAGAGGCCGCGTGTCCTCCTCCCCATCACTCAACCCTCGCGTCTCAGGGTCTGTCTCTCATCATCCCCGCACCCTTTCTAACCCACACTCTCGCGCACTGTTCAAATCCTTCCCAAAGCGTATTTAGCTCACCTATTTCCCCCACCTTTCTCTTTCCCGTGTCGAATTTCCTCAGCACCCTCACTCCCGGCCACGACGCCGTGCAGAAGGTGACACTGGTGCCACGTGGCCAGGCGCGCGGGCTGACGTGGTTCATCCCCAACGACGACCCGTCGCTCATCTCGAAGCAGCAGATCTTCGCGCGCATCGTCGGCGCGCTCGGCGGCCGCGCCGCGGAGGAGGTGGTGTTTGGTGACGCGGAGGTGACAACGGGCGCTTCGAGCGACCTGCAGCAAGTTACTGGCATGGCCAAGCAGGTATGCCGTAGTATTGCAAGTCACTCGCATGCCATTGCCAGGCAGTGAATTGAGGAACTCAGAGCATTAAATGGAACATTCGAGGCGAATTGTGTGGGGACGTTGCTTGCGTTGCGCAATCTTCCCCCACTCCACTCCAACCCCACAACCCTTGCCCTCCTCCCTTTTCCACAAGTAATTACGGTATAACCCTTTTGGCTCAATTCCTAGAGGCCGCTCTTTTCCTTGTGCAATTCCCACCCCTCACACCTCCCTCCTATCTATCTGCTCAATCCTATCTTCTTCATGTTTGTTGATGGCTCTCTGAGGCATCTCAAATCCCATAGCTCAGTCCACCTAACCTCTTACTTCCTCCTTTCCCTCTCCCTCTTTCTCCCACAGATGGTTACTGTCTTTGGCATGTCTGACATCGGCCCATGGGCTCTCATGGACCCCGCTGGCCAGGGCGGCGACGTGATCATGCGCATGATGGCGCGCAACAGCATGTCTGAGAAGCTTGCAGAGGACATTGACGCCGCAGTTAAATCCATCTCCGACGAGGCATATGAAGTGGCTCTGGCGCACATTCGGAACAACCGCGAGGCTATTGACAAGATTGTGGAGGTGCTGGTTGAGAAGGAGACCCTGAGCGGTGATGAGTTCCGGGCGATTCTTTCGGAATTCACGGAGATTCCCAAGGAGAACATGAACTTCACCCCCATCACTGCCTGAAGAGGAGTTCTTGAAGAAGACTTACCGTTAGCAGCAGCTGCTGTTGTGCAACTGCTTCTGGGCATGGTTTTGTGAATTTATCCCGGTGACAGGTCTTAGGCTAGGTTATTTTAATACTCTGTCAGTACATTTTGCGTTTGAACCTGTTTAACCTGTACATTCTGCTCGGAACTTTCCATTACCGGTGTTATTCCCACCCATGAGTTTCCCTAAAGTTTTGGGCAATATTCCCACACAGCTAAACCAAGGTTCCTTGACAATTGTTGACAGATTCTGAATACAGTATAAACTTAAAGACTGATTACTGTATCATTGGCAGAGAACATTGACTGTTGACCGAACATGGAGTAAGTGCAACCTATCTACATTACCAGGTGAATTACAGTGGAAACCGAATTTGATACAGTGACTGTACATTACTATGAAGAGTTCTTTACAGTAAAACCATCTCAGCAATCTGAGTACTACCATCTCAGCTCGTCTTGGCCATAAACGTGGGGAAATGTTTAGTGGGCTAAAATGCAGTGATAACCAGTTGCATGCCTGGGGAGTGGTATATATGGTGCCAGGGCGTCACATCCAGCCAACTGTACCAGTAAGTCAGAGTGACCACTTGAGCAGTAGTCGGTTCACATGTTGCAACGACAAGCAAACCGCCAGAGGAGCGAGGAGGAGCATGATGTGAGATTAATGGCCAACGTTAATGAATATTTTTCTGTTCGCTTATAATATAGCACTGTTAATGGTCATAGCTGAATGATATAAGGTTGATCGTTTACATTGTTATGAGCAGGAAGGAAAGGTTTTTAGGAAAGATGAGGGGAGATGAGGGCTGGGAGACTAAGGTACGTGGGGGTGGGGGGGGGAGGGGCGTGAGCAGAGGGGAAATTACAGATGGATCGTGGGAGAGGAAAAAGGGGGAAAGGGGGAAGTGGGGATTAGGGATGTATGGGATGCATGGGTGGGAGAAATGAGGGACGAGTGAGGGGAAAGATGAGGGAAGGACCGGGGGTGGATGGAGTGAGGGATGAGGTGCGAGTGAGGGAGGAGAGGAGGCATGGCGGGGGAAGGGGATGTGGGGAGAGCGAGAATGTGTGTTGTGGGGGGGAATATCCCAGCGGAAATG